AACCCGGCGCGGAGGGGAGGGGGGACAGATTTCTCCCGTCCTTCGTCTGCTTCGTGTCCAGAGGTGATCCCTTTGGAAGAAGGAGAGGAGGGGGGACGAACGTTTAAATTAGGCAGGGAATCCCGTGGAATCCGCGAAAGAAACCGGGGGGGCCGGCATTCCGTGAGGTTTTGATACGCCTTCGGGGCTATTGGTCGTCGGGGGTACCATTAGCCCTTATGCGGTGGGAATGACTCCTTGGGGCCCGAACCGGTCAGCCTTCGCGCGGTGGGTCGTAAACGGTTGCACGCTCTAAATCCTATATTTAATCGCCTCTCCTCGGATTGATGGACGGGGTCGCCGAATTTTCGAAAAAATTGGCCTCCTGTTCGTCGAGGAGGAGAGAATTTTCATAGTCGAGGTTGTGTGACATCGAAATGACGACGAAATGGGGAGGTTCGATAAATTGGAAATCGTCTCGTTTCGATCGTTGTAAGTTTATATATATATATATATCTTTATGTATTATGTAAGAACGTTTTGACGGTTTCAGAGTCTGGCCACAGGTTGGACAGCGGCTCCCCGTTCTGGAGGATTCAGCTCGATCAGGATCTTCTGGACACCATCAGCGCGATATATCCGGAGTGGTTTAAGGTAAGCCGATCGTCCTTTCCTGTCGTGTCGATCGAGCGTCCTTGAACGATATAACGAGGTATGCGCTCCTCCCCCGTGCAGGACTATACCAACACCCGAGCCTCGACTTCCTCCTCGTCGAGTACTTCCGGTGTACAGTTGAACACCGAGGGCATCGTGGCGGCCGACACCAGCGCCGTTCTCGAGCACAAGGTCGTCAAAGGTGATAACAAGTCCAAGTCCAAGGCGAAGAAGGTGGACTGCTTGAAGGAGAAGGAAAGGGACAGGAAGGAGGGCAGGCGAGAATCCAAAGACGAGAGGTGATTACTTTTGAAACGAAACGTAGTCGTTCATCCAATACAATTATTAATTTTCACGTTAAAAGTAGCGTCATAAGAATTAATGTTAAGAAAACTTTCTCTCTCTCTCTCTCTCTCTCTCTCTCTCTTTCTCTCTCGCCGGTAACAATTTTATCAAAGGGTTGACATTCCTCTTATCTTGTCGCAGCCGTTTTATAAGAATGGCCCGGTTTTACGTCTGTCCAACGGTTCGAGATTATCGTTGCAAGAAGGAGGTTTTCGCTCTTGGAACGCCGCGAGATAAAGCGTGTATCGATGTTATATCGCTGCTTATCGACCCCGGTAAATCATCTCGCGAACGTGAGAATATACTGGCCACGAGAAGATTCGCGGCAGTAAACGTAAATAACGGTTAATAAAGGCGGGAGATAGCGCGGGTCGTAACAAAGTTGCCGGAGAATTCGAAATTACCTCCGCGTACGTACGTGTCCCCCGATAAACTTTAATTGGCTACTTTTGTTACACCGTGAATCCGTGAGAAAAATCGGCGTCTGCACGGGTGCAGATACGCGCTTGTCACCGGCCCTCTTTCGCGATAAATTAAACGACGATGGCTGTTCACGCGATCTTTTGGGGAGTTGCGGTTGCGTGCGGTTGAGCGCCGATTTTTCTTTCGGCGACGGGAGGGAGGAGAAAATTTATGGTGGAAATTTTGTTCGATAGCGAGTCGATATGCGTGCAATTTTTTAAATTTTTACACAAACGAGCGGGAAATGATTAAGAAGAAAGTTGAGAATACGGTGTAAAGATTTACACGCGAGACGATAAATTGAACAACGAATGCGACGATAATATTTCTTTCGAAGGCAATTATTCGAAGAAACGATTTCTAAAACGATTCTTATTCGAATTAGATATTCTTCACGATCGATATAAGATACAAGAGACTTTCCAAAACGAATAATCATTGAAATCGAGTTAAAACCTTCGCTTCGCCTATCGATAAAAACGACAATATCTATTAGAACCTCGAAGAAAGAGAGAGAGAGAGAGAGAAAGAGAGACGCTACCGATATATATCCCTCGATTTCTTGTCGAGAGTCAGAAGGGGTCAGTCGTTGGGCGATCGTCGCGAGAGAGGGGAGGGGAAGGGAGGGGAGGAGAGCGAGTTTTCGTCGCTTTCTGATGAAAACGTTCCACTCGATTCCGTTCGAGTGTCGATTGATCCGTCATTCCTTCATCATCGGCAAAAACACGCGGGCTGAGGGGATGGGAGGGAGGATGGAGCCCAGCCTCGATTGACACTCGTTTTGCCGGCGTGTTCGCCTCTCCCTCTCCCCATCTCCTCTACACGAGGAGACCAAGGATTCGATGGGTCCAAGTATCGACGCATCGACGTATGAAAGATTAATTCACAAAACGGCACGTTTTGCTCGTTTCTCGGACCCGCAGGGANGGAAACGGTAAGAAAGGGACGAAGCCCTCGCCGCAGCAGGATAAAGCGGCGGACGTGGCAGGAAGGAAGGCCGCGGGTGTTCCAGGATCAGGCGCGGAGATGGCCGAGGGTAATCAGTCGCCGCCGAAGGCGGAGGTCGACGACTCGTCCCTTCAACACGCCATGGATCGCAACAAGGAATGTGAGTACATTTACATTTTATTGCTCCCTTTTTGCACGCTCCCCGTTGCCCTTGTCGCCGCGCTTTACGACCCTTAAAACGAGAACGCCGCGGCTTTAAGGCCTTCCCCTTCACCGCTTCTTGTCCTCGCCTCGATCGTCCCCGTTTCGATCGCGAGCGAGCGATTTTCTCCCAGCGATCCGCGCCGCCTCCGCCTCACAGACCCGTTTTTATCCACGGGTCGCGAGGCGGCCGATCCCCCACCGCTCGAAGATCGACGCTACGGTCAATTTTATCGAACGATATTGTATACCCTTTTCCGTGAATTAACGTTTTTCACGCTCGTGATATCGAAACTATCGAGGGAACCAGGTGTCTCTGGTTCTCTGTATGTTTCGTTAATGAGGCGAAGAGGATCCTCTCCTTTCGAGTGCTCATTCGACGAATGTTAATAAACAGTGAAACTATGTACGTAGATATTTGTAAAAATTGAAAATATCAGTGTGGCTCTTGAAAGAGTCGCGATGTAATATTTATACAACGTAAGGATACTTCTAACTATTTGGTAACGTGAGTATATACCGTTTAAGTTTTAATATCTCTTTTCTAAATTTCGAGAAGATTTATCACGAAATTTGAAAAATAAAATTATTTCATCACGAATTTATTCGATAATTAACCCGGATGAGAAATCGAATTATTCCCGAGTCTGTTGACAACGAATGGCGATAAAAATATCAGTTAAAGCTTCCCGTTGCATCGCGGGCACGTACACGCCCCCGATCAATCTCGACTTCCAGCGTGCGCGGAGGAGGAAGTGCCGGTCTCGATGTCCGGAATAACCGATGAAAACGCCTAACGGTCCCCCGTGCGACGACGTTCGTTTCCGATCGGTGTCTCGAGTCCTCGGTTATTATGCGTGGCAGCCCGTAATCGCGCAACTGTGTTTGCGTCCGACACTCGAGGTTGCAGTTATCCCCTAGTATCCGCGGATGAAACCCTCGAGTTGGCTGCTTTAACAATTCAGCCGCCATTTTTGGAAATTACTAATGCAATCTTCTTACTTTAGGCCACTTTAGATATAATTCTTGTTACGTGCTATTCGTTCAAACTTTCTCTAATTTTGGAGTTTATATATATATATATATATGGAATTGGGGGTGAAATTCTTTATATTTTTTTTTATAATGAGGTGATTATTGATTGTTTAATCAACTGCTGCATTAGCCAGAGATTTGCAGTTCAAGATTCTATCATCTAGCTACTATTGATAGTATACTGAACGTAACTAACTTTCTTAAATATCATTCGAGAAAAAAATTTCTCTTATTTTCGCTGCAAGGAAGAGAATTAGCAAAAGAAAGCCACGAGTTGAACGAGTTGTAAGATCGTGATCGTGGAACAATGAGATTGTTCAACGATAATTCATCGAGGCCGACGATTGCACGCAACGATTCTTCAAGTAACGCGACGAGACGAGACGAGACGAGACGAGACGAGACGAGACGAGACGAGACGAGACGAGACGAGACAAGTGAAGAACGTGGCCGAAAATTGATTTCGCCGGCCGGCAAACGAGCCGCTGCTTTTTTTTTTTGCCGCGTTCGAATACGTTATACCCCGCAGCACGCGAGCGATTCGAGTATACGACGGGATCGATCGACGTATAAATACGTCGAGGCGGAGACGC